GTTTGTTTTTCTGGTACTGGGAATCGAACTCAAGACCTTGCACTTGCCAGGCAGGCACTGTGCTGCTGAGCTAAATCCCCAGCTCCTCCTCTCCCTTTGTAAATGTAGGTTTTTCATGTACTGAATGATCCTCGAGAGTTTCTCATGAATGCATGCAAGAACACAGAATTGGGATGGATGTCAAGAAATCATGTAGTTGTAGGTCTTTCATTTTAATTCAATAAACATTCATTGAGACCTTCTCTATATGAACCACATACTCATAAATGATAGCATTTGGCATTCATCAAAAAGGTGCTACATATACAGCCTGGCTAGCTTTCCTGTGTTTTTAAAGTTCTACAATGGCCGGATATTGCAGTGGCAAGCCTTTTTAGGAAATACCATCCTGTGTCTGCAGTAAAGTTTTTGGCATCATTGTTCACAAGCAACAGAAACATTAGAAGAGCAGGTTTAGTCAAGCTTTTAATCATTATGTGTCTTTAGTATTGAACCTTTTAGAGTTCCATATTTTGACTGAACTTTGAATTGGTATGATTTCTATTCCTTATACCAGAATTTTAAAAATTATTTTGGATGCTGACTGAAAAGTGATTTTAAAAAGTAGGAATGAGGGCAGGAAGATATACACGTGTACTTTACAGTTTCCACATCCATTTCTGAAATTCGAATTTCAAGTTTAATAGGATAGTGTGTAAGTAGCTGGTTGAGTCAAACTTGAAATACCTACATTTGGATGCTGTCTTAGTTACTTTTTCTCATTGCTGAGACAAAATACCTGACACCCAAAGTTAAGGGAGAAAAGGTTTATTTGGCTCACAGTTTGTAGAGGTTTCAGTTCATAGTTGGCTGGTTCCAAGGCAGGGTGGCGTGGCAGAGGGGCATTGCAGAGAAACAATAATTCATGGCAGGCAGAAGTCAGCAAGACAGCAAGCTACAAGTGATAAAGGACAGTGGCAGCTGTCAATAGAGCTTCTTTCTGTCTCTTTGTATTCTATCGAAGGTACCCACCCTTAGGGCAGGTAGCACTCACACCCAGAACTATGCCAAACCAATCAGTGGACTAATTGAGTAAATCACACACTCTAGATCCAGCCATCCCTGAAAAAGTCGCACCTATGACTGCATGAGGCTTGGGGGGGACATCTAGACACAAGCCATAGAGATGCTGCTACCTCCCAAAATGTCTGGCATTTCTTTTCATTGTATTAGACAAAGGTCTCTGGGCTTTACATAGTTTGGAATAAAAATAGATGTATTTCCATAAGGGTTTATAACTTACAACCTGTTTTTACAACATCCTGACACCCCATATGTGGAATTTTGCACGCTAGTCAACTTTCCACCTCTGATACCAACAGATTCCTGGAGTGCAGTTCATTTCTGACACTCGTTGCCTGGAAGTAGTACAGACCCTACAGTGAAGGACCCAGACCCTCAAGACTGCCCCCATTTTAGACACACTTCAATCCCAAGTTCCGTGCCTCATGAACTCCTTTTGGACAGCTATAAATCAGGGTTCCCAAGACCCATTCGTTAGATTTCGATAATTTGCTGGAACAGCTCACCAAATTTAAAGAAAGCAATTTACTTAGAATTATTAGATCGTTGTAAAGGATAGAAACAAACAGCCATGTCAAAGAGTTACATAGGGAGAGGCCTGGGAGTGCACCAAGGGCTGCAGCCTCTGTTCTCCAGGAGTTGGGCTGCACCAGCCTCCTGAAGTGAGGATGTACTTCCAACAAGCAAGAAGGCCTCTGGACCCCATCCTTCAGGGGTTTCTGGGAGGCTTCAGTACAAAGGTGTGATTTGAGGTTCCGTCACTGGCAGTTGGTGGTTACCTCAACCTCAGCCCTCTCTGTTTCCTCCAGCGGTTGTGGGGATGAATGCTGCCACCATCCATTCATAGCTTGGTCTTTTGTGAGAATCCCTCCTCTTGAAACTATCCAGGGGTCCACCAAAAGTGGCCTCCTTAGAACCAATGACACTTCCACTCACCAGAAAAAAAATTCCAAGGGATTTAGAAGCTGTGTGCCGGGTTATGTATTTCCCACACAATTGGAACATGGTAGAAATGACTGATGATGAGGGAAGGCCAAGCCAAGACTGATCAAGGAAAGAAGTTCCTAAACTTTAGGAATAATGTTCACTGAGGATTATTATGCAGTTATTCAGTTATTTAAAATACATCCACGGTGTGCTTTTGTAATTTGCATTCTACATATAACTATGCTCTGATATTGCGCTTGTTTGTGTGGATGAGCCGAGAGAAGTTCCATGACTGACACACAAGCACAGGAACCCTACAGAAGAGCAGGAGGAGATAGTATGTTGTCTGCACAGAGCAGTTCCCTCTTAACCTAGAGATGATGCAACGTGGACGGAAGGCTGGAATGTTAAGCGTGTACAGCACAGTCTGCTATCCTCAGCTGGAGCAATTATCTGAGGAGCAACTTGCTGTATTCTTTCGTGCATACAATAAGGCAGCAAATACAGGACAACTCCTACTGCAGGGATCCCTGGGCCACAGAGCTTTTAACACGGCATCAGGAGCTGGAGTCAAGAGACCTTTTGGTAGGGCTTGGAGCATAGGATGCAGGGTAGACGTGGACTTGGCTAAAGACTTTACTTCAGTGGTCAAGGTCAAACTGAAAAGCTAGGGTGTAGAAAGGGCTTAGTGCTGTGGGTCGATCTTGATTTGATTGGAAAGCGGCTGTACTCAGCAGAGGTCAACGCAAAAGTAGATGAAGAAGCAGAGTGGATATATGAGTTGAAATTGAGGGTGTTAAGACGGTATGGGGACCCAGATTGCTGTCGATCCTCTCCTACCATGGGAACGTGGAGAGAGATGGAAATTCCCAGAGAACCCTGGTATGGAGACACCCAAGGAAAAGCGACCATTTCCTATGATCAGTGAGCCAGAGCCCAAGAAGTGTTAGCTGTGGCTGGTGAGAGGGATTGCTCCAGCCAGGGGAGACCTCCCACGGCAGCGAGGGACACAGCAGGACTCCCGAGAAACCATTGCATTCATCTGGGCCATTTATTATAGTTATAACTGTGTCATTCGTGCCCCGGGGCCTTTCTGAATTATCAGACAGAAAAACAATGAGTGCTCAAACTTGAGTACATTCAGGCAAAGTTTTGTTACAGTTTTAGAATCAAAGGTTAAAGGGTTTTGTGCTTAAAAGGAGAAAATACCTGCAACAACTACAAGTGTGTCTCAGTTCCCACCGATAGGGACTAGGAACACTGATGTCTGACAGGAACTTTTAATCTTTTATTTCATACATCAGTCAGTCATTATTGGCTTAGTTCTTACGCCTCCACACCTGTGGTTTACAGCTTGGCACTGTGGGTCACGTGTGTGAATACAAATTAACTGTGCAAACTGTTGCTTTGAATTCCTTTTCTGACTCACCTACCTCTGCTACCTTTAAAAGTAAACACTTTATTTGCAGCGTAAACGATGAAAGTCATCACCTACATCTCGGAGTGTTGCCCGCTTTCCTTCTGCATGCAGCTTTTATAAAGTGTTGATTGTAAGTTCTTAAGGAATTTATAAAAAGTTGCAGCATAATCAGTGAAACTCATTACCCACACCTAAGAATATTATTGCCTTGTGCTTTGCCTTACACATGTAACTTTTACAAAGTGTTGATTGTAGGTTCTTGGGGAATTTATAAATGTTTAGAGTGAGCCAGCTCCTTTGATTCATTTTTCTCATATTGGACTGCATTGCTTCTTGCTCTGGTTAGACCCCCATACGCACACTCACACACACACATTCACACACTGTCATGTGGCACTAATTGCTTTCCCACACCCAGTGTTTATTGTGCGTCTTTGTGTACAGACACTTTTGCAGACTGCGGTGGCGACATGAAAAGTGAAAGGGTCCTTGTAGTTCTGTGTTTATATTCTGTACTTTCTTTGGCAAACTGCTGAGCTGTGGTGAATTTCATAAGCAGTTCCTCGTGTCTGGCTGCGTGTTGCCAGCTTTTGTGGTTGAGGTAGGGGAAGAGGCACAGCCCAACTAGCTCCGTGTCCCGTGCTCTTCTCAGAGTTAGATATAGAGTGGCATCATCAAATTAATTAAAAACTCGCTTTAGGTTTACAGTTAACAAGAAACCAATAGGTCTCCAGATATTTTTGTACTTAACACCCAGTCGACATATTTGGAAATAGCAACATTTATTTGCTGCTGTTATTTCCTCAGGGACAGACTGTAAATACATTTATTTATCTGCTCAAATTACACAGAGTGTGAGCGATGAGGTGACCTCCATTTCAGCAAGATAAATCCCGGTATCCCCAGTCCAGCCAAGCTCATCTGTTGCTGTATAGCTGAAGCGTTTATGGAAACTTGCTTTCTCCAGGAGGCAGGGAAGCCCCAGCGCTCACACATCGGGTTGCCGTGAGCAGGTTACAGGACTGCCAGGCTCCTCTGACAAAGGGGGTGCTGCTCGTCTCCAATGAGTAGCTGTCAGGGTCTGATTAGGTACAGGATGGCTTTGGAGTTTCATGTGCGCATAGCCCAAGGTCAGGGGCTGACTCCCATTAATGGTGAGTCAGAAGTAGGGGTCAACTGTCACCCAGCGGGTGTTCATTGTCTTTTTGTGGTGTAACTCCAGTAGCAAGAGGCCACGTTTCCTGAAGATGCCCCTGCTGTGTTTAAGATGATTGACTGTCCCATTCCTCTGCTGTACTTCCGGTGAGAGCGCTGGGAAGATCAAAGCAGTGTGATGTTGGGTTTTCTGCTTAGTGTAAATTTAAGCATGACCACAAAGGCTTGTTGCCTCTCCCTTGGTAAAGCAATTTAGCCTGGAGAAAATAATTAAATCCTCAGTCTCTTGCAATAATTAGAAATTTGAAATGGGGAGGATTAATTATTTTCATCAGATTTCAGTTGCCTAAGAAAATGCTCAAGGATGGCATCCAGACAGTCTCAAGCTAATTCACAATTCCATTGCTTTCAGTATTTTTAATTTTTCTCCCCGCAGGATCATGCAGATTTGCGAAGCCATTTCTTCACAGTCGGGATGAAACTAGAGACAGTGAATATGAGTGAGCCCTTTCATATCTGTCCTGCATCAGTGACCAAGGTGGGTTTTGCTTCTTTGCTCCACAGCGAGTCAGCTGATGAAATACACTCATGCGAGGCTATACAGCGACAGCAAATAAACCAAAGGGACATCGATGCCTCTCCAGGGCGCTGCTACCTGAAGCTGTTTGTCACTGGTAGCAGAGTGGATCTGATCAGATGCCTCTTTCTAGAATGGATAGGATAAATTTTCCTTCTTCTGATAGATTTGGCAAGTTGCAGGTTATAATCATTCTAAGAGTAATAACCTGGTCCTTCTGCATGGATAGCAGTGATACAATGATCTGCAGACATTCCTCATGTAACGACTGTGGCTAGGTCATTACATGGATTGGTCACTAAATGAGGAGCTGTACATAGTGTGTACATTACAATATTCAGAACAAAAAAATGGTCAAAGGAAACTCCAACTTGATGACTTGGCTTTTATTTGTATAACTCTAGCCTGAAGTACTGTAATGTATAAGAATATTAAGCTGTGCTACTGTACTATACAATCAGCAAGAATTACAGTATTGTGCAAACAAGGTATACTGTACAAAAAAAGACACTGAGGCTCTATAAACAGGATGAGCGGAAGTGTACAAAAGAAAAGACAGGTAGTAAGACTTGAGTGGCAGGTCATTAAATCCAAGCAGTCATTAACCAAGTAGATCCTTAAATGGTAATCTTAAAGTTGAAATTCATGCACTTCCTTTTATTCACCATGCATTAAAAAATTTCCAATGGAAAGTCGTCCTTGGTTGTTTTTACCATGTACTGGTAGATACCACAAGTTTTTGTAAAACTCAGCAGTTCTACCTTGCTGAAACTTGGCCACAGTTTCCTTTTGTCCCAGCAGAGGGTGACAGCAATGCCAGTTGCCCACATGTCTGAATCTGTATCACATTGTCCCCAAGGTCAGCTTCACCTGGACCTTCAAAAACAAACCAGAGAGCTGAAGTGCTCCACCTGCCAGTGGCAGTGGCCTCACTCACATTTTTATGCCTTTAAATAATCGCCATCCGTGATGTTAGAAAGTGACATGCTAATTGTAATTAATTCATTCCAAACACTACTACCTAGTTGGATAGACTTTCAGTGATAGCCATTTGAGTTTTCATAATAAATAATTATCTCACTGCTCCTCTGAGGGAAGGGAGTGGAAGTATTTTCAGTGATTTTTAAATTTCATTTAGAAAACTTTTTCCTTTTCTTTGTACCCGAGATAAAATACTTAATCCATTCTGTTTCATATTCTCTCCGCCTCTGGTCCTGCTGCCCCAGTATTGTGAAATGCGTGAGCTGCACTCTGTCCTTCTGTCTCCCAGGACTGGATGTAGGCTCCTCCTCAAACCCAACAACCACCTACATGCGATGAAATATCAGAATATTCATAGTGCAGTGCATACTTACAGTTATATTTTTCTGAACACTTGCAAATGTTTTAGAATATTTGTGTTTCAGAAAAGACACATGGTGTTATTACTTATCACAGTGTAAATTTCACCCCCCCACTTGAGTTTTTCGTGATGGCCCAATGGTTGAAGTAAGTAAATAATATTAAAGCAAACAGACAAGAATGCAGACAAGTAAGCAAGCCATATGGCAGATCCAGTGTTCAGTTACTGACCTTCAGCAGAAGAGCAGAGTGAGATACTGACAGTTGATGGCCATGATGACTGTCATTTGTGTGTGGAATATACACATTTAGGGGAAGGAATGTTGGAATTAGAAGTCTCTGGGAGGCTGAGGCAGAGGGGTAGCAAGTTTAAGTCCAACTTGACAACTTTACAGCTTAGTGCAACCTCGTCTCAAAATAAAAGGTAGAAGGGCTGGGGATGTAACTCAGTGTGAAGGCCGTGTGTTCGGTTCTCGCTACTGTCGCGGGAGAGGGAGGTCAGGAGATCTGGAGGTTTGGAGGTTTGGATTCTGGAGTTCTTTTTCTACCTTTCAACTCTGGGATATGCAATTGTGAGCAAACTCGTGAACTGATCTAAACCTTGGATTGGAGAGCTGTCGGATCTGGACCAGAAGAAACACAAAGCAGTGCTCGTGACCACTTGGAAACATGAACACTGATGAGTCTGATGCAACTTCCTAAGATTTCCTCTGAAGTGTGTCCTAGTGAACGAGCATTTTAACCAATTTTGGAAATTCCTTAGTGTCTATACAAGGTCCTATGGTGCCTAAAGATCCTACAACCAGAATTTATTACTTTTAAAAAAGTTTTATATGTGTGTGAATAATTGTGCATGTGCATAAGTGTGGTGGAAGAGATCACATTAATTTCACAGACAGTTACTGAGCACCTGAAGGCACTGTTCTGGCCAATAGGACATGCAGAGTCTGCTGTTACGGGGCTTATATTGTAGGGGGAGAAACAGACAGTAAGTGTATCATACGGTAAATGGTAAGGCGAAAAATGCACTGGGAAAAGAGTTAGTGGAGCGCTGGCGTGGAAGCAGGGTGCGGTTTTATAAAGGCTGGCATTGTACGTTTGGTGCTTTGCTCCTTAAAGCTGGCTTTCAAAGTCAATAGCTATTTTTTGGAGTTAACATCATACTCATCTTCATGTAGTGAAGTGACTTTCTGCTCCTGCTTGACTTTGAACTAGGTCGCTTCCAAAAAATATAATTGAAGGGCCTAGGTATCATAGTTTAGCGAAGATGTTAAGGTTTTTTTTAAAAAAGTCTGGTTTATCTTTTCTGTGTGTGCGTTATTTCACATACTCGGTGTTTTTGAGTGTTGAGGGCCATCAGATTTTTGCTCTCATTGGTTTATCAGCATGCCTTGTTCCTTTCTCATCATTGATGTGTTTTCTTATATTCATTGGATATTTATCCAGCTTATATATAAAACATTTCCTGTGCCTTTGAGAATACTTTGATGAATAAAAAGGGGGCCACTGTCCTCAAAGAACTTAGGATCTATTGGTAGGGACAGGTGTGTTACCAGTCCACAGAAGGAATGAGGATTTTCAGCATGGAAATTTACGTCTGATGCTTTAGGAGCACAGAGCAGGGACCCTTTCAGCCAGAGCATGGGCGCTGACATTGGAGCTGCACCTGGAAGAGGGCAGTGAGATCTGAGGATGGGTCAGGCAGCTGGGGCGCTGTAGGGTATGAGACACTGTGTGGGGCCGGGTGTGGTGTGGTGATTCCTGTTGGGCAGCATGGTGGGCTATTTGGGGTGATGTGATGCAGGATGAGGCTAGAAGTCTCCCATGCTAGGTCTTACAGATATTTGGGGTGATTCTGTGTGAGAAATTTGGTGTCAGCTGGGGTTACCGAGACTGCTGCTCTAGCGCCCATCTTAGCTCTCGTCTAAGGTGGGGTTTGCCTTCTTGCCTATCAGTTTGTTTTCCTGGCACCTATGCTCATTGTTTGCTTCTCTAAGTATTTGACTTTTAAAAAAATTCTTCTATGTGTTTTATTCATTGATCTTGCCATTAATACAATCACAATGATCAATTCTACCTTTTCACTAGATTAATTTAGTAAGATGCATTCAAATGCTAGATTATGCTCAGATCAATTTAATGAACTATCTTAATTGCCTTTGAAAACTGCCAGCATTATAAATGTAATGCCAAGATATTATTTATTGCTTTTTTCAGGTTTTCAACAATCATTTTTTTCAAGTGACTATTGATGATCTAAGGCCAGAACCTAGTAAACTCTCGATGCTATGCCATGTGGATTCTTTGGGGATTTTGCCAGCACAATGGTGCCTTAAAAATGGAGTCAACCTCACTCCTCCCAAAGGTTGGTATTCTGTGAAAATTTGCCAGATTTGAGTGGTTCAGGATGGTGTCTCTTCTCACTGAAGTGATTCCTTTGTTAATCGGGAGAAGTTTGGGCTGTGACTTACTTAGATGTAGTGGGAGCAGTGTGTCCTTAACATGACATATTCTAAGGTCTGCTGTTGCTCCATCCCCCTTGAGATGTGCACAGCTGGGCTCTTCTGCCCACTTCAGTCTACAGCAGATCCTCCACCAATTCCTGCATTACTGGTGGTTGTGCTGCTGTCTCAGAGTGATAAAGCGTTCAGTGTTGCTAAGTGATTGAGGTTACAGACTTGAGAATGTCAGAGGCGCAGCTTTAAAAATGCAACAAAATGCTAATGAAGCATTTCTTTAGATTTTTATTTCCAAGAAGTCATGTTTTCCCCAGGGCCCCGTTACTCTCAGGTATCCAACAATTTGACGCTGTAGTCCATTAAAATAATTCATTTGGGAGCCAGGATGCATGAAAGTCATTTTAGATTGGGATCTAAGAACCACATGTTTCGTAAGTAACACTGTCATCCTACAGCACTGGGGTTTATTGTCCCCTAACCTTTAAGTAGGGAGGAACACAGTAAAATGAACAAAAGAGAAAATTGGGAAAAGGTTAGAAATATAAACTTACGGGGATGCTTTTTGGTAGACAACGTCAAATAAAAAAAGGGGTTTTACACTAAGCTTTTCGGCTCTCCAGGGATTGGAAAACTTGCGGCATCAACCATCTGAAGAGGTTAAGTTCGTGTTTCTCTGGTGGCTGTCTCATGTTGTGCCGATCATTTAACTGTGTTGTGACTGGCTTACCTGCAGCATAACTGCTCACTGGGCTTTTATCCTATTTTTCCTCCATAGTCTTCCCTTTGGAAGTGATGCTTTCGGATATTTCCACTTTAGCTGTTGACTCTGGAGAATAAAATTACATAGCAGCAGCATGTGGTCTCATGATAACATGGTGAACTTTCACGTAACATTACGACCTCACCAATCGCTGTTCAAGCGCCTAGCTCACTTAGTCCTCAGAATTATGCTTTGAGGAAACTTAGTTACAGAGAGTCTATGGGATGTGCTTAGGGTCACAGGATCAGGGAGGTAGCAGACCTGGCTCCCCCGTGTGTGCTGAGTGATGGTGGGAAGGACTCCAGTGTGTGAGCCCCGCATACATGTTTCCTCGCTGGTCTTCTCTAGCTTTGTGACCTGAGCCCGCTCACTGTGCTTCAGTTTTCAAGACTACGTGACAAGGGGACACGCATGAGAATCCCCAGTTACCCCACAGAATCAAAGAAATGATAAAAGTCTAAGTATTTGTGTAATCCCTGAATATGCCCATGCACTTTTTCTATTAAGAGGCCCTTTCCTTGCCAGGTAGTCTGGCAAGTTTGAAAGCTCGGTCCCCCAAGTATTTGTGATATTTGGTGTGGGGAAATTCTCTTCATGCAGGCTTCCAAGTTGTTTCTTCCTCCCTTGGTACTAAAATGTGTCCTTTGTAGATTCTCAAAGAAAAAGAATGTTTCTTAAATGACATAGTAAGTTGTTTGTAGTATGTTGAGTGAAGGTAACAACTGTCTGCCCATAAGAGAATCCCAGTGATAACTTTTAAACTCTGCAAGTGTTCAAAATGTGATTCAATATCATTAATTTAGGATGCCCTGGCAATCTGCAGGTGGTTGTGGCACTGTTTTCTGGAAATAGCAGAAATTTTACTTGTAAGCCAGTTAAGGTAAAGACCAGCAACTTAGAGAATGGATAAGGGGAATGAACCAGTTAGCACATGATAAAGCAAAGCACAGTGACTCAAGTCAAATTCATCACTATAGGAGAACTGCAAGTAGAAATCCTGTTGAGGTGCTACACGGTTAGCAGGTGAGGGGTAGAAGCCCAAGAAGGACAGGAGCATTCAGTTTAGGTGAGTGCAGAGGAACAGAGGTTCACAGAGTTTGCTGTGAACGTAAAAGTGGTACAACAGCATGGAGGATAGGGGGACACATTTACCAAAATTAGAGGTGTGGTTCCCTACTCAGGATCCCACTTCTGGAAATTTTTCCTAAAAATACACTGCACAGATAATGTGCATAAAAGTGTATGTGGTTTTTGTAATATTTACAAGAGCAGAAAGACTAGAGAAAATTCAAGTGCTGCAGAGCTCATAGTCCCAGGAAGTCTCACACTTAGGAAGCTGTGGCAGGCAGATCCCGTGAGATCAGGAGCCCAAGACCGGGCTGTGCAACATACTGACATCCCATCTCAAATTTGTCAATATAGCATTGGTTAAATTGAGTTTGGATATTCACCTAATGAAAACTGTTGTTTTGGGGAAGAATGATAGAAATCTGCATATCCATATGGAAAGTTGTCCACACTGAGTTGTAGAGGTCAGTAGGTATAGTATGATACTTTGTTAGAGGAGAGTAAGTTAAGAGTTTATATTGTGTTTCTCATATGTGAAGTAATCTCTGGAAGGTTACATAAACAGAGTAGAATTATTGTGTCTGCATGAGCTTATGGGATACAGGGATGGGGAGCAGGGCAGAGAGGGGGAAACGTAAGAATAAGACTTTAATAGAAAACCGTTGGCCTTTGTTTCCATGGCTTTTGTATCTGTGGATTGAACCAGTGGCAGATTGAAAGTATTTGGGGAAGAAAACTGTGTCTGTATCAACATGTAAAATCTTTTTTCTTGTCATTATTCCCTAAATAATACAATATAACAGCTATTCACGTAACATTTACATTATACTAGATAATCCAATGTAGTGATCATTTAAAGTGCACAGGAAGATATGTATAGGTTATATCTGAGCACTGTGCCATTTTGTATAAGATATTTAAACATCTGTAGGCTTGGGGGTCTCAAAAGGGTCCTGGAATCAGTCTCGCCGTGGATAACAAGAAATGACTCTAATATTTTTGTCTTTGAAATGTTCAGATTTTTGGACCTAAATAAATGTGTTATCTATTCAAAAATAATCATGTTGTTAAAAGCAGAAGGTTTCTTTTAATAACTGAAAGGGATCTTAGACTTTATCTGATCATGTTTAACCTCATGCATTTTCTTCCTGAGGAAACTGAGGCTTAGTCATGTTATGTGAATTTTGAAATCCTGAGACAGAGGTTGACGTAAACCCAGTCTAATGCCTGTCCCACATAACTGTATCGATACTTTTCTGTGGTTCTAGCTAGCTGATATGTCCATAAAATCCATCCTTGTCAGTGATTTTGTGGCCTTTTGGTGGCCTTAAGCAAGACTAACATGTTAACGGGCCATTGACTTTTACATGACCGAAATACTCCGTATGTCAAAGCACTTGGTGAATTACTGTTGTAGGAAATCATTTTCCAAGTGTATATGGTTATAACACAATTGTGGCTTTTATTTAGCCCCCTTCTCATCTCCGGAGAGTGGGATATATTTATTTTTGTAATTAAACAGTAAAAATTTAGAGGTAGTGCTCGTGGTGGTTTTTGTAGTGTGGTTTAGTGGTTTCCTTTCGGGGCAGTTTATTACATGCTGTATCTCCGCACAAGGGCTGGAATCATGCTGTGGAATTTTTCAAACTTCATTCTTTGTTTTATCAATGTATGAAAGGAGAAGTGTAAAGAGCTTTGTTTTAAGCTTGAATTCTGAGGTTTATATCTAGAACATGTAGGATTTATTGAACATGCCACCAAATGATTTCACGTTTCCTGTGTATAGTTGCCAGTAATGTGTTGTGTTGTTCAGATTTCTGTGAGAGCCATGAGTACTCCTTGCAATTATGTGTTACTTGATCCCCAAAAGATATTAGGTGGGAAGCAGCTGATGAGGCAAAAAAAGTCAGACGGTATAGGAGAGAAATGTACAAAGAATATAGATCTTTGATTGCATTGCTTTGACTCTATTACTGTTTAAAAGGCCAAGATGTTTAAGACAGAGTGGATGGGAGTTTTTCATTTTGACTTTCTGCATACGCGCTTACCTGTTAAGCAAAGGATAGAACAATGGAGATTTTACCCCATTAGTTTGCAATGAACAACACATCAATATTATAGACACTATGAAAAGTGCTCAAACAAGTTCATGAATAAATAAGCTAAGCTAAAAGGTGTACAGGTTATTACCCATGAGTTGCTATACTTAAATTATTTCATTAACCTTCGCAGAATGTAATATAAAAGATTAGTTATAGCATTAGAGGAGGAAGAGCTCTACCCAGGAGAATCTTCTGTAGAAAATGTTAAGACTGTAAATTTCTGTTGTAAAATGTGGAAGCAAAGGCCAAAGTAAATGGCCTGTTTTAGCATTTGATGTGTCTGTTAGGTTGAACATTTAATAGATATATAAACTGTTAACATAATTTAGGAAGTAAAGATGTGTTATGGTTATTTTGGGGGCATAAAGTAATGAATCCTGATTCATATGCTCTGAAGGAAAACCTCAGTCATCCACTGATGTACAGTCCATTGTGCCATTTGTTACATTTCAGAAAGCAACAGCAAATAATATATAGACAATCATTATCCCACTCTTTCTTTTACAAGTTAACATTTTAACATGTTTGATTTAGATTTTTTAAAAAAATCAATAAAACATTGCATAGAACACAGAGTCTCCCTTGACTCGTCTATTTCTAAGCCACAGTGAGTCCTATCAGCATCTTCAGAATCTTCTGTGTGCTATTGTGACCTCCTGGCCTTGGTCACATTAAGCCCTGCCTGATTACAGCAGTGTCTCCTCTCCCTCAGTTGATTCTAACAGCAATCAGATTGATCTTGGCAGAACAGAAATTACACACAGAAATCACTCCTCCCCTCAGACTGTCCACTGTCTTCCACCTTCCTCAGTGTCTAAGTTAAGACTGGGACAGCAGCTGACAATGTCCAGTGGTTCTGATTTCCACTGCCGTGTCTGGCCCATTTGCTTGAAGGTCCTCCCTCAGTCTGATACTCTCACACCAGCCCCACCTTAATACCTGGCACGTACCGTTCCGAAACTCTGGTTGGGCTCTG